GCCATTAATATGTAATGTATTAATACTTGATTTTCCTGAGATGCAGAGGTGTCTTTTGTAAAGTGTAGTCTCCCAGAAAATGCAGCTCTGTGCTCTAAATTTGGTGAGAGCTGTGGCATTCCCTTGGCCTTTTCCCTCCAGTTCAGCCTTTCTTCCAGGCATGAGGAGTAAGAGTAACCTATGGTGTGTCCATTCTTCCTTATAGGAATTTCATAAGTTGCAAGACACCTAAGAGTGGTTTTGAGAGGGTGAACATTTTAGTGGAAAGCTGTCAGCTTTTGGGGGAATGGGCAATTGAAGGAGGCCAGAGCCATTTCCAGAGCTTAGGGATAGGAAGGAGGACTGCTAACTTTGGCACTAAATAGAAATAACTATTCCACTTTGAAAGTAGGAGAACCAGGTAAAGGATATATAATACATCCAAGTCTTGGGTCGTCATTCCTATCAAGGTTAGTATACATGGGGGTGGGAAGGGGGTGGTGTGGGGAAGCAGAGCCTGGGAGTTCAGAGCTGAGCACTTACTACCCTTGGGGAGGGGCCCCCGCAGATCTGGATTGACCCTTCTACACTCTTGGTCCCAGTTGGTCATAACGCCAAGGGCTTTGGTCTGTGCTGCTTTGCCACTGCTGCTGTCTGCTCACTGTCCTGCCTGCTGCCCTTTATAGCTCCCCATCCTTCCATGTCTCTGGCCGTATACGTGAAATCAAGGCACCCTTTTTATTCTCACCTGTGCAAGTGTTACTTTATAGCAAAGTCAAGGTGACTAGGAATAGTACGACTTGCTGCTGGTGGGCTGGTGAATCCAAAGGGATGTGGCTTTAGTGCTTATCGGGAGCCCTGTGGCTCTAAATGTCTGAGTGTCTTGAGGGAGAAACAAGCAGGTCCTCCTAGTGGATGTTTTCTGTGTATTAATGTCTTTCCTTTGTGGTATCTTGTATCCTGTTTTTAAAAATAAATGATGGGGAACCAGGTTAGGGCCTGTGCCAGTATTCCAGGGGGTTCATCTGGCTCTAGTTATGTGGATTCTGTCTGAGGTTGAGAAAGGGTTTGAAGTTTGAAATAGCCACTCAGTGGGGGTTAGTTTTATTTTTACCAGTGGGCATCATAGGAGATGCACAGGTTGGTGGTATGATTTAAACTTAGAACAGGCAGGCATATTGAGATGTTGAGTGATCACACTGGAGATAAAGGGTGGACATGGGTTAACTGGGAAAGGGCCTGGTCCGTTGGAGTAAAGATAACCTGATTAATTGGCCATGGGAAATTAAGTCAGTCTTAAAAGCAAAGTGAATAGGGCAGAGGCCAGGTTTTAGGGAGACTTCTTGTCCTCATAGGGCTGTTTACTAAACCACACTGAAGCTACAATATTTTCCAGATGGGAAAAAGTGTACACTACAGTTGAAGAGCTGAACTGTGCTAAGTTGGATGTTGACCAGGAACCTATTAGCCCTTTGCTGGGAAGCCTTCACCCTCCAAGCTTCCCTGGAGTAGGGAAGGCCTTCCACATTATGCAATAATAAAATAAGCATCTGGGTCTTTGCAGCTGTCAGTTGTTCTTTCAACTCTAGGATCATTCTTTGGACCAGAAGCCTGGTCTGGGCCTAGGATGGCACTGGCCCTCAAGATGCTAGTGTTGACTGCACTCTCTCCTTACCTGCAGACTATGCACAGTGCCTGGGGCGGAAGGCGGAGAGGTGGTGTGGTTTGCCCTGCTGACCCTCCCCAGCAGGAACAGTAGTAATAAATGCACTTTTCACACTAAGGTTTCTTTATTAGTTCTGTTAAGCCTAGATTCTCCTTCAGTAGATTGCAAACTCAAAAGTCTGTGTGGTCCCAAAGCCATTCTAACTGCAAATGCCCAGCAGTGAAGGTGGCCTCAAACTGGGTTCCTGTCTACAATGTGTGTGGCAGCAGCCCATGTGCCTTTACCTATTGTCAAACTTGCATTTATTTCTGTCTTTATGACTGTCACAGGGACTGAGGTTCATCAGAGAGAGAGAGATTGCGTGAGCTGATAACACAGTGGTTTTACACCCACTCCCTTGGACGGGGAGTTTGCACGTAGTTGTGAGTGGTTAGTGCATTGCTGGTATTGCTGAAGGCAGAGTACACCCCTCATTTGCTTGATACTCGCATTGGAGAGAGTCTTGTGTTGGGGGAGAAACTGACTGTTCTCGCGGCAAACTTGAAGTATTAAAAATAAAACTGTCCCCTACAACCTTCCTAGTCACATACAGGATCCCTGTAGCCAAAACAGTATATGTTCCAGCTGCAGAGAGCAAACTGCTCTCAGCTTGCACAGCACCTTAGGGGAGGGAAGATTATGTGGATATGGAATGGGGGTAGAGAAAGGAGGATGGGAATGTCACCCAATTGGCTTTAGGGTCCCAAGGAATAGAGAAGGTCGGCACTGGGGAGGTCTGGATGGATCTGATTGGTGTAGGAGTTCCCTGTAGATAAATTACTGACCCCCAACTACCATCCCCAGTATGTAATGGCTGAATTAATATGTAATCAACTGCATTGTATCTAAAGCCTTAGAACTAGTCAGGTGCTCCCCCCACCCATACCATTTCTTACCCTCTAATCCTACCTGATCTTTAACAAAGCATTAATAATTCTAAGGATAATCTCTATTTTGTTGTGCTTTTTTGTAACTGTTTTAAATAAATCAATTTGTACTGTATATTTGTACTTTTGTGAGATCCTTTTTGCTGTTTTACCATTTTAAGTCTCTGTACTTGGCTACACACAGATTGTATTTTTATTGTTAATGCTCTTCTTATGGATACCTGCATTTAACTTGTGGACTATGTAAACACAATATATATCAATATCTATATATCTATATATCTATCTATATAAACTACTAGCTTTTCCTTTTGGTGTTTGCGCCTTTTTCCTATCCCAGCATTAGATGATGGCCATTGGGTGGGGGGTTGAAGCCTTTCGTGGGAGAGCTTGTAATAGAGGGCAGTGGTGCCCATGATTGTGTGGTGGACGCCAGGCAGATTATGTGAGCTAGTCCTGAAGCATGGTCTGTACATTTTGTTGCTGTGTATTTCAGAGACCCAGAAGTCTACTTGTAGACTTAGATACTAGCACAGTCAATCAAAAGGACCTGTAGACGTCTTCACTGGTGGCCTTGTCTCCATTTTTCTTTCCTCAGGAATACTGCCAGAAATTGCTGGAATAAGTCAGTTGCAATGATACCTACTGCTTATAACTCAGAAAGCTTGCCACTGGTAGAGGTGAAACACTCAGATACAAGATAGTGACTCAGACACACTTATTGAGCATTTACTATGTGCCACAAACTACCCTAAGTGCATTATATATTAACAATCATTTGTTGCTAGTACTATTATTTCCATTTTATGGGTGGGGAAACCAAGACGGAAGTCAAATAATTCGCCCAAAGTTACACAGCTCTTAAATAGCAATGAAGAATTTTAAATCCAGGCATCTAACTCCTGAGTCTGTTAACTTACAGTTCTGAAAACTAAATGAGGTAATCCACGTAAAGTGCTCAGAATAATCTTTGATGATACTGAATGCACAACTATTTTGAGGGATCCCAAGTAGGCCTTCAATAAGGAGCTCTGTGAGAAAAAGGCATTTGGTCCGATTACGTACTTTCTTTTAAGTGTCTAGTACTTCATAAGCAGTTTATTGGAATTTTTGTATTTTTCAGAACAGAAATATTTCAGCCTGCCTAAGGAATTAACCCTAATTTGGTGGTTGGGTGTGGGAGGTCAATTAACATAATTAAATAGCCTTGAACCTATGGAGGTCAGAGAAGAGTCCAAGATTCCTTGTTATGATATTGGAAGAGGTCCACATTCCTGGCATAGTTATTTTTCTGGCTACAACTTAACTAGGGCACTTCCTTCTGGACTTCAAAATCTATAATTATCTAAACTGTACACAACCTTTGGTGCAGGCTAAGGAAAGTTCTGTGCTTGTTCTGTACCATCACAGAAGCTTTTTAGAAATGACCTCAGCTCTTGTCTCCTCCATGGTTTGGCAACCATACAAACTGCCAGAGTGGTCATTTTGCTCTAGCCTTGACTTGAGCTCTCATATTACCTTAATTCTGGATTTTCCTACCTTGGCTGTGGAAATAAAAAGATGAATTACCTCTTCTCTCAAACATGAGTACCTTGGTGCTGTCTACCTTAATATTGTAGCTGTTTCTATGAACATATTCCTAAGTGTAGCTGTCTGCTCTCTGGGATAGAATTTTAAAAGTTTGACAAACTGGCTGTGGCTGGTATGGCTCAATTGGTTGCGTTTTGTCCTGTGTACTGAGAGGTCACCAATTCGATTCCCGGTCAGGACACAAGACAGAGTTGTGGGCTCAATACTCAATAGTGGGCATGCAGGAGGCAGCGGATTGATGTTTTTTTCCCCTCTCTCTCTCCCTTCCTCTCTCTCTAAAAATTAATAAAAACATTTAAAAAAAAAGTTTGACAATTCTGCTGGGAAAAGTAGCCAGCACCTAGTCTAAGTACCATATCCTCTTTAGAAAATGCCAGTTATGCCCCCCACTAGTGGGTGGCCACAGAGTTTTGCCACAACTCCCCCCCGACACACACACACACTCTGCACCCTGCCCACCATGGGCCTGCTGCCTGAGGCCAATGCTGCACACCAGACCCAATCTGCTCTCTGTGCAAAAATTCACAAGAGAAACATGAATGGATAACAACAGAAAATGATATTGGAACAGTGGAATCAGAAATTTTGCACAGGAAGTTTTGGGAGATGTCTACTGTAGTCTGCCTGAAATTGGGATAAAATTGAACAAACAAGTTGCTTTGGAAAGTGTGAAAGCTGCTAGTGAATTCTGTTCTCTATCAGGAGAAATAACTGAAATGAATGAAGCTCTTGCAGAAAATCCAGGACCTGTCAACAAATCTTGTTATGAAGATGGTTGGCAGATCAAGATGACACTGAGTAACCTCAGAACTAGATGAACTAATGAGTGAAGAAGCATATCAGAAGTACATACAATCTATTGAGGAGTGAAAGGGGAACCCCCTAAATACAGTAGGATGAAACAAAAAAGAAAATGCCAGTTATAAAGAAAGGCATCTACTGCTGAGTCTGGAAAAGGTAAGCTAGGTTTTAGTAGCCCTTTGGACTGAATTACCTTCATTAGGATTGTGGGAATAGACCCTCACAAAGTCAGCCTCGGTTCTTTAATGTCATAATGTCTCATCAACTTGTAAAGGCCCAAATACTCAGGGATCTCTGCTTGGAGAGCCTAAGTTTAGGAGTACCCTCCCTCAGAAAAGGACAACGATCAGAAGTCACTGCCATTTCCACCCAAGTCTCTTCCAGATCACTTCATTTGCTAGAATGAAATTGAGAGAAAAGCAGGAAAGGGCGAATAAGATAAAATTAATTTATTTGCCCTTACAACTCCATGGGCCACCCTAGGGCCCCACAGTCCTACAGCATGCCCTGCAGCAGTGGGCTGGGGAGTCCAATTCTCTGGAGTGCCTGCTCCCTTGTCCAGCCTAGAGCTGGGTTCCTCCTGACCCCATCATCCTGCTCTGACATGCAAGGGGTGCACAGATCCACCTGCAACAAACTGGGCCTGCCTCTGGCAGTAAGGACAGGGCCCTGTGGGTGGCTGCAGCACTGATCCCTTTGGGCTTGGGTGGGCAAGTGAGCGGGAGGGCAGGCAGGAGGGTGCTTGTGGTTCAGTGCAGAGCGCTGCTATTCTGCTCCTCAAAGGCCATCTTGCCCAGGAGCTGACTGTCCAACTCCACCCCACTCACAGGTAGCTGAAAGAAGTTCATTTCAGCTGCTAATGCTGCCATGGCAGAAGGGTCCTGGCCAAACTGAGCTCGCAACATCATGTCCATTTTCTCCAACCTCCTCTTGAGCCGCTTGGCCTCCCGCTCCCGGATGAGCCGAGCCTGCCGCTTCTCCGGGGTTTCATTGGCCCGCTTGAGCCTCATGGCCTCCCGATCCCGCTGCAGCCGGCGTGCCCGCTGCTCGTCTGTCTCCTGCATGCGCTGCAGGCGCTTGGCCTCACGGTCCCTCATGCGCCTTACCTCCCGCTCCTCGGGGGTCTCATTGTCCCGCCGGCTCTTCTTGGCCGTGCGCTCTCGTTCCAGGCGCTGCAGCCGTACTTCCAAAGGCTCGTTCTGTCGACGGAGGGCCCACTTGCGTACGCTTGGGGTCTGGGCTTCCAGTAGCTTGCGGTAGGCAGCACAGTTGTTGCACACAAGCAGAATTCCAGCAGGGTAAACTGGAGGACTAAAGGCAATGTCCTTCCCCTCGGCACTGGAGGGGCCCTCACTGTGGGCTGGGGGTAGGGATTCCATATTAAGAACTTCAGGAAGTTTCTCACTGGCAAGCAAACATTTTGGATGTTAGTATTACCTTCTAGCAAGTCTCAGGTATTCAATTCTGATGTACTGTTGTCCTACTAGGCCAGTTGCTCCAATCGCACCACTAGAGGTCAGTCTGAGTGCTTGGGAGACCTGTTCTTCCACTCCACACCTGCTCTTCTTTGGGCTAGGGTGTGTACCAAGTTTTAAGGCCCACCTGCAGCTACAGACTGAACCAAATGCCACAGCAAGCCACTAGAAATCAGATGAGCTCTTACAATGAGCCCTTTTATTCAAGCTAGAATGGTGGTGTTTGGTAGGAGGTGTGCAGGGCAGTCCTGCTGTGGAAGGAGGCAGTCCTCCTTGAGGTACAGGCTGCCTTCAGGGCAGGTACAGTCCACTGGCTCGAGCTCCTCCTGCCCTAGCCAACTCTGCACTGCACACTAGCAAATAGGACTAGGACACAATGCACACCATTCCAGTCCTCCTGGGACACAGTAGAGATTACATCCTCACGTTAGGGTCCTCTCAGCACCCTGTAACTTCTTTCTCCATGCTTTATCATGAATATCCTTGGACCTCCTCTTTCTGGATGAAAATTATTATTCTGACAGGAAAGAAATGGGAATTCATTTCCCTCTGCGGATAGCTAATGGAATGGTATATTTACTGGCCTCATTATTTGTATTTCCAAAGAGTCAAAGAATCAGTTGTCTCTGCTTTACCTATCTCTAGCCCTTACTTTGACTTGGGAAAGCAGAACCCATACCCAGTAATTTGTTCCCAACACAAGAGGGTTAGGTGCACGGCAAACCTGTTAAACGTGGCATGGCTGGTGAAACGGGCTCCACACACAGCACAGTTAGACCGCTGGTCCTCCGAGTGGATTAGGAGGTGGCGACCCAATGACCCTGGGGAGCTAAGGGCCCGGCCACAGACAGGACACATATAGCTCTTGGCGCTCACCACTGCTGCAGTGTGCTGTAAAACAGAGCCTTAATCTGTCAACTCACGCCACCTCCAGAACAATCTACATCCACTACTTAGGAATTACTTTGCAGGCAACATCCCCTTTCCCTAGCCTCAGAACAAGGGACTTGCAGCTATTTTCTCTGTTTAGCACCCAGAAAAGTAAGTCTCTTGAGTTAATGGGCTTTCAGAAGGGCCAGGCCATTCAGACCACTAGTTTGAGGTCTGACTACAGTCTGGGACATGTGGCTGAACTGAGGAACAATGGGGCTCCAGAGCTACCTTCAAAGCCTGAGAGGAATTCATGCTCAGGATTTCTCTCTGACTGCTTCCCTCACATTGTACAGGTAACAAGTCTATATGAAGGGAGTGACGAAGGCCAGTCTAGAAGCTAACTTGGAAGACTGGTATCCAAAAGGTATTTAAGTGTCCTGCCTTTCCTTCAATCTTTTAAAAACAGTCTTTTGAAGAAATGCACCTCCTTATAAACTATCTATCTTTAACCCAGGCGGTCTTGTGTGCAGATGTCTTTTCAATACAGCTCACAAGGCACAGGTGCTCTGCGATTGGATCAGGGGAAAAAGAATAAAAAATCTGTTTTGCCCGGCCACAGAGGCTCAGTAGGCTGAGCATCGTCCCGTGTACTGAAGGGCTGCCAGCTCAATTCCTGGCCAGGGCACATGCCTGGGTTGTGGGTTTGATCCCCAGTAAAGAGAGCGTACGGAAGGCAACAGATCCATGTTTCTCTCTCTCTCTCTCTCTCTCCCCCCACCCCAAGCATGTCCTCAGGGGAGGATTAAAAGAAAGTCTGTCTTATTCTCATCCCCTCATTTACACTAACTTTCTCCAGGATTTCAGAAACATTTATGTTAACTCATTTTTTTCTTTTTTAAAACAGAGCTCTCATTATTAACAGATGTTAGTTTCTATTTCACTATTTCAAATATGCATTTAGTAATTTTTTTAAAAATGGTACTTAATTTTCATAGTATATCTGCCTGGGAACCCCAAAACATATTTACCCAACATATTCCACTTATTCTCCAAAATGTTCTGAGGACCCAAGGTTCCTTTGGGTGCTGGAGGCAAAGGCTAAACAAGCTGCTAGCGCTCGAGTTCCAGAGCACATAGCTCCCCACACCATACCTGGTACACGTGAGCAATCAGCTGCTCCCGACTCCCACAGTCTAGTTGGCAAAGGGGACACTGACAGAGTCCAAGTAAGGGGTCAGAATTCACATTCTCTGTGACCTGCAATTCAACAAGTAGGTGGTTCATTAAGACTATTGACCGGTCTCTTCCCTGCCCCTACTTCTTTTTACAGGGTATCCTGTTACAAAAAACACTACCTGATATCACATATTATTCTTAGGTTTCCATAGGGACCAAAGGAAAAACTAATGAGGGAAGGGAATTTAATTTGCACTTATCTTTATTTTCTCCAAGGTTTCCTGCCACGAGGGCAGAGGACTACCCCAGAGTGAGCTTAGATACTTTTTTCCCCCAAGGTAAACTGTAGAAAGAGGATTAGCTTCCCTCCTGCCATGCTTCTTGCAGGAACCGTCAGGGAACAATTTAGTGAGATAACACTTCGACTTAAAATTTGCAAACATATTCAAGAGAACACCTCAGGAAGTCAGCTAACAGTTTTGCAAAGGTGGCTATTCTGTCTGGAAAGTAGTGGGGGGCTTCGGGAAGAAGAGCTGGACGTGGGCGTAGAGATACGTAGGTGGAAAAGGAAAGCTGGCTGCCATGGGAAGTGTGTCTGAGGTTTGGCTAACAGGCGCTGTGGCGGAAGAGAGGCTTCATGTGAAGGCCCAGGAGACCGTCAGAGGCAAGACTGTTACATGCGGATGAAAGGCTCAGGGCTGAGCACAGGGTAAGGGGGTTCCCGGACTCGAGCCACTTATCACTTGCCTCATGCTCTACCACTTCAGGCCCACCAGCAGGCTGTTCCACGCTGTCTAACTCCTTTTCCACCTTGACCACCCCTCCATCTTCCTCTGATGTGTGGGAAGAGACTTCATCTTGTGTGGTCTCCTCTTCATCACCCTCACTGTCACCTGGAACACACAAACTGGTCACTAGCTCTGATTTTTTATGAATACATTTTGAGCTGCTTTCCACCCTAGAGTTTGTAGCTATAATGGAAAACATTTTCAGGTCTTCCACAATATAGTTTGTATCAGTGCTTAGTTGGGTACAAATCATGTCAAGTGGAACTAGATACAGCTGTTGTTTATAATGCCATATACACACTAAAGAGAAAATCTGAGGCAAAAGTGTATTGGAAAATGGTTATTGGGCCCTGTACATTATCATAAAAACAATAACTTCATATACATGGCTCCCAAAAATCTCACACTTGAAATCACACCTCCCACATACCTCACAGCATGATCATTCCCATAACACACCACCTCTGATTTACCACCACTTCTCACTGATTCTATTAATTTACTTTTCTCCATCTCCCACTGCAAAATTTCTCCATGATGTCACATATACTGTTCTATTCTGAGTCCCACTAATCTGTCCTCTGCCAACAAACCCCAAGGCACATTCAAATAAACACCAACAAGTTTTTCTTTCCTCTAATCAATAAAGGAGGCAGTAGTAATTTAGGTTAAAATGATGTCACTTTTTAGGGAAAGGGCTGTTCAGTACAGTGGGAAAATTAGCACAGCAACCAAACTCAGGTATTTGACTCACTGTGTTCTTATTACTCTGCTAGTAACAGCATTCTAGGCTAAATAAATCCATTGTTTCTGTTGGTTCTCTGGATTATCTGATAGCTGACTGAATGTATTAAGTAGACGGAACAGGTTATTCTTTACTTTAGAATGAAATATCATTTATTGTGACTAAAATAAGAATTGAGTGTTTTAGTTTAGGGGGCAGGATGTAGCTGTGGGGAGGTCTGCCCGTGGCTAGGGGATCTTCATGGTTTGTGGGAGCTGATTTTCTACCATGATCTTTTTTTTTTTTTAAAGAAACCTATGTTTCTTTAAAATGAGTTCTTTCTGAAAGGAAAAAAAAAATGGTGCTAGTACCTTGAAGATCACAAGAGGAAGCCAAGCCTATGGAAGCTGTCAGACTCCAGCCCTATCCCACCCCACCTAGATCCTGGGTCTAACTGTAAGCAAGAAAGAAATGCAGGGTAGAGTTTCACCAGTCCTGTGCATCAGCAGTGAGACTCAGCTTTCCCAGCTAACGGTGCTTGTCTTCTCTCTTCTATCCCTTGCATAATTTCTAAATCCACCAGTATCTGGGCAAAACTAGTTTATTCTCTTTCTTCCCATGAAAACCTAAGCAAATCATCTGTTAGGAATTACTTGCGTCTCTGTTAGATACTCCCCTTGCTTGGTGTACTGGATTTGGCCTTCTTCCCCAGCCCAAAGCTTTAGTTTGAATTCATCTCAGTAATGAAGGATTGACACAGATTAAATCATAGCATATTTTCTCACCAGTTTATCTGGAATACTTGTAAGCTTAGTCTAAGATGATATTGCATCAAACACATTTTTGTAATTTATCGAAAATTCAAATATGTCTCTACTAGAAAGATAAAAAAAAAAAAAAGTATGCTGTCCAGAGGGATGATGCATTTTTCCAGAATAGAAACCTCTTAGATTTTTATAGATGTTGCCATTCCTACCTTTTAGTCAAACTGATGGCTCCCACAGGTTTTCTAGAAATATTTGGGTTCATTTTTCTCTACCTGAGCAATTAATTCCTATATTTTTTATTGTTGTTGCTAAATTATTACTTTGAGTGGAAATTGTAGTTCCTAGGTTGGAGAACCTTCTCCCTCTTTGTTCTTCCTCACCCCCAAATGTGGAGAAAAATTTGAAAATGCCTCTCTGAATTGACACTAATAATAACCAGTATCAGATGAAATTAGTAAAGTGTGGAAATCACACACATCTCAAATAGAAAATAACACATCTCAAATTGTATTTGTTCAGGCAGGTCATGGAACAGGTGATCCACAAGGTTCCACTGGCTACCAGCCAGCCACTTCTCTTCCATCTCTTAACCACAGGGACCTACCTAGGACTTGGTATGGGAAGGGAAGACCTTGATGTTAGCATTTTATACGATACAAAACTAGGCCCTCAAGCAAAAGTTCCATTAATGCCACTCTTAAATTTTATTCATTATGACTAAATAGACCCAAGGAGACAGGGATTTTTTTCTTTTCACTTGACCTAACCAAGGAATTGCTTGGGCACTAATTATTCCTATGCCCCAGTCTATCACAGTCATCACAAACCTATCTGTGTATGGCACTGTGCGAAGTACTGCAGTCTCTGGGTTAAAAAAAACACACACACCATAATGCCAAACCTGTTCTCTCTGTATAAGCATATGCCCATAGACTTTAGAACACCTTTGGGAACACTGAGGATCCACAGATCTCCTCCTTCATGTCTTCCTCCCAACCCCATGCACAGCCCCAGAGCACACACAGTCTGATAATTCTTCTCCCATTGCCCTGAGTCATTACCAGAAGGTGCAGAACTCACTGCTACTGGAGTCCTGATCTCTTAGTTGTTGGATAGCTTGTCGCTGACTGTCAAGGTCTCCAGGAAAATCAGTTTTCATCATCGCCTGGCGGGCTTGCTCTTCTAGCCCAGCAAATACTTGATCCCCTGGTGGTCACAAGGAAAAATAGTCAGGCCACCAGCTGGGCAGCACATTCCCCAGGCAAGCTGGTTGGAAAGTCAGACCATTCAAAGGTAGGAACAAGGAGGTACCCTATGGTGGAGTCATTCATCTCCAAGTCAGCTTGTTACCTACAACTGTTTCTGGGCACAGCTACTCTTCCTGGGCAGTAAGCCAGATGCTCTAGACAGCATCATCTGCTTCCCTTAAATCCTCCTAATCTTGACTCCTTTTCAAAGGTGATCAATTGCTACTTCACAAATTTGGCTTCAGAATCTCAATTCCATTTGCAACCTTCCATCAGGATTGGGGAGACAGAGGCAAGAAGAGGCAAAGGGGTAGGATAAAGATATGGCAACAAATATGGGCACAATCTGTGAACCTTAAGGTACTAGCATTATGCCCTGAGTCAGTGTCTATCTCTGACTAGAAGGCAGTGCTTCAAATAATCCATCTAGATAACAGTATATAATCCTGTCTTTCATTCACTCTCCTTCTAAGACATTCTCTGCAAGTTCTTTCTTGACTCCCTTTCTAATTTCTATCAGAATTAGCCATAAGCAAATCAACAACGAGTTGAATTAAAAGGAGAACAGGTAATATATGAACTCATTTCTACTGAGGAAACACTTCTTGAAACATGCCATGTAATTTGCAACAAATATTTTCATCTGGTGTCCTTGGTCCAATGATCCAGTGTGTTTGGTCTTTTTTTAACATGTTTTTATTTACGTTCGAGAGAGAGGAAGGGAGAAGGAGAGAGAGATAGAAACATCCATGGGAAAGAAACATCAACATCCATCCGCTGCCTCCTGCATGCCCCCTACAGGTTTCGAGCCCACAACCCAGGCATGTGCCCTGACCAGGAATTGAACCCCTGACCTCTTGGTGCATGGGTCGATGGTCAACCACTGAGCCACACCAGCTGGGGGTTTTTTCCTTTTTTTTTTTTTTTGGTATGGAGTATCCAAAAGCCCTAGACCCATCCTTGATTATGCATTTACTTCTGATGAACTCTGCTTGGGATCTGTGTGGTTACTGAAGAGTTAACATTTAAGTGTTCTTTCATTTCCAAGAGGCCAGGCGTAAGGAGAAAAGAGAATTGGGTTTCTCAAGGTTTCCATTATCTCAGTCAGAATGGAAACTACAGTCCCCATTCTCCAGCCACCAAGAGAGAATAATAAAAAGCCCTAGTGAAATGTCTGACAATAGACCAATAGCGCTTTCTTACTGAGGAGAGAAAGGGAAGTAAACAGGCTCAGGTTCCAAGGCAGGAGACAATAATGTAGGAAAAATGAACAGGTTAGTTGATCTGCACTACTAGTCCTTAGGCAATGAAAGAATTGATGTGAAGTAGGCTTCATGTGATTACTTAGGCATTCATTCAGCAGATACTCATTGAGTGTATATGCTAAGTGCTGAACACTAATAATAGCTAGTATTTGGCATTTCCTAGCTCCAGATTCTATGTTAAGTGCTTTATAGTTGTTACCTTACCTTAATTCTCTGCTAAATCCTATGTGGTAGGTATTATTACCCATATTTTACTTAGGAGAAAACTAAGGTCTATGGTGGAACTAAGTATTCAAACCTAGGTCTGCTCAACTCTAATACCCATATTTTTAAGCTGCTTTCTAGTAGAGATGTAAGCAGGAGGTTAGGCTCTTTATCATAGTGGTTTTGCTAAAAACAAATGCTGTCTCTGTGAGAAGAATAGCTCTGATCCTAGTGTTACTGTTATCTTCATATCATGAGAAACTGATAAACACAACTTAAATATCAAAATAATTGCTAGTATCTCTATGAATCACACTATAATGAACCTCAGGGCCAGCATATGACAAAAGGAGCCATCATTTTGATGATTCTGATAGCATGTGGTGTAATTACCATGCCTCATTTAGAGTAACTAATATTACGACTACTCTGACTGATACTGTGAGTGGCAGTAGAAGTGATTAGAGTTCAAATGTACTACAACCACACAGCCCTCAAGTAAAGAAAAAATCAGCTGCTTTAAGTCCATTTTTATAATATCCAAGATGACACACTGGATATAAATTACTGGTAGGGAAAGCAAAAACTGAATTCTGTGTTATAATGTCTTCTCTCCTCTCTTTGCAGAAATAAAATATTTAATTTCTCCATGTTGGTTCCACTGTAACCACAAGATCATGGCCAATGGAATAGTTACTGAATTCTTCTGGGTAGATGCATATTTACCCAGATGGGCAGATATGGCACTTAGGAACAAGTTACGTATCAGCATATAATTAATTATCGAGGGGCAGGTCATTCCCATCAGTTATACTGCTCATCTCTAAAGAAACCTAGCCAGAAACCAGCTAGCTTTATAGCATATTAAGAACATATACTCCCTCCTCCCCCCCTTTCTTATTAGGAAATCACTACTGGATTAGTAAAAGAGCATCTAAAAGTATATGTACCTTTCCATAGCAGTTAGTAATTCAATTTGGTCTCCATCAACTAGAGCTTAAAATTCATTTTTGTTTATTGATGTTTAAATAGTTAGGCCTTCATAGAACAGAGAAAAGTCTGCTCCTTATAACTTCCCTATCTAAGATTTTCTGCTCACCTAGGCAATCTTACCTAGGACAGTTGGAATAAATTAATTTTTCATTCCTTTTTGGCAGTTTGGAGAGAAAAGCTATGCTCTTATATTTTATTCTGCTCCTGACTTGAAAAAAAAGGCTAAGGGTAAACTTTATTCCTCAGGGCCATTCCTATTTTAAACATCAACCAAAGCAAACTATATAAAAACCATAAAAAAGGGCATGATTTTGGCAGACCTCATAGGAAGAGATATGTGAATGATCTTCCAGTAGTCATTATTTACCTAATCCCTAAAATCTGGCTGTCCAGAATTATCCTTTCACAAGAAGGCAGTGATACTTGCCAGAAGTATGTCATAATTAAGTATAATGTGATTTATAGAGATACTAGTGATTAAGAAGTGTTATACAATTGCCTGCTTGTCTAATGCACAATTATTTCCTTCTATCTTGAGACTGTTAGAGTAGGTTAAAAAAAATCCTGATCTCTAGATATTAATGTGGGCAATGATCTTATTTAACATGGGTATTTATTTGTCTATTAATAGTTGAGAACGAGTCATCTAAGCTCCCACAGTGAAAAGCAAGGTGCCACCTCTCCTTTTTTTAGTATAAAATCAAGATACTGTTTGATTTGGCTAAGATTTTTCAAGCCAGATAAAAATAAGGCCATGCAAGCAAGTTTGTAGAATAGAGGAGAAGCCTGAGGTGAAAGTTATTAAAAAGGCAAAGATTTTACAATTCGCTTTTTTGAGTCCTTGGTGCAGTTAAATACAGGGGTGGGCAAAAGTAGATTTACAGTTGTCTGTATGGAAAATAATATAATAATTAATAATAATTCAAGAATAAACTGCTCCTGGCCCAGTAGCTCAGTTGATTAGAGCATCATCCCAATACACCAGGGTTGCAGGATCGATCCTTGGTCAGGGCACATACAAGAATCAACCAACGAGTGCATAAATAAGTGGAACAACAAATCAATATTCTTCTCTCTTTTTCTCCTTTCCTCTCTCTAAAATAAATTTAAAAAAATTTTTTTTAAATAAACTGTTTTGCATGCTCACACTGTGAACCTCCTTTTGCCCACCCCATAAATGTCGTTTCTGGCTGACCAAAATTAAGTATAGCAGCTGAAACATATTCTAACAGAGCAGATATCAAATTCAGAAAAAACAGCTAGTATTTGGAGTGAGAAACTTAGGATTCCATTTCTTGCTGACAGTCTCAAGGTTCTACTGCATGTTGGGAACATAACCATTTACCCCACAGGAACACTGATGGACTAAACAAAGATAAAACAAGTTGCACTTTTTAGAGGAGAAGGGACTATAAATGCTTTCCCCCCCTACTTCTCTGTAAAAGCTAAAAAACTTTTAATTAAAGTTGAAAGTTTTTAGTATGTACTTTGCAATCTGAAAACAAAGCTCTTAAGAAAAAGTTTTCCTGCTCTTAGTGGTTTGCTTGGTATAAACACGCCAAACAAGAGTGTGCATGGCACTCTATTTTCAACCTCTCTAGAAACAGCTGACAAAACCTATACTAAGAAGAGGTGAGATGAGGAAGGAGGGAGGGAAGGGCTAACAGATTTCAGCCCATCAGCAGTTTCTCTGACTAGCAATTCTGGGCTTTTATTTCAAAAGCTCTCATAAAGTCTATTAATGAATTGGGCAAAACCCAAGAGTCTGCCTGGATATTTCTGAGATGCAGAGAAGTCCTGAGGAAAGCCAAGTAAATGTCAAAGCAGCCTTCCCATTGCCTCTAAAGTGGATCGGATGGATGCTGCCAGGCTACAGCAGTGGGATTCTTAATATATTCTTTTAGGCAGGCTTTGAGCTTCATGCCACACAGTCTTCTTTTTCCCAGAAGGCCGATCTAATGGAGCTCAGCCATTACTCTGCCCGAGTGCCGACTGGCTTTGATTTTGAAGCAGAGCTTCTGACTACCTCCTAGACCTTGAGTCCATTCCTTTATACTTTAAATAGTCGAGCAGCACTAAATTCAATACATTTGATTGGTTCCATTTTATTGCAAGGGGATAGGAGATTAGAGTGGTCAGAAGTCTGAAATTACCAATTTCAACTTTCCCTTATTGTCATGGGCAATGAGAAGATGACCTTTCAAAAAATGTAGAATCAGCTTCAGTCCCCAAATAGTAAATAAACAGAAGGTCTCTTAAAGACCAGCAAATTTCACTGTTTTTTCTTCTCTGGTCAAGCTTAGTCCATCATTTGAGAAGCCCTCATAGTTCCCTGTTCAAATGCATCACTGAAAATAGCCCCTCCCTTAGATCTGCTTTTTAGAGGCAGCTGAACATTTCTGTTCACAGACCTCTTCATGTCACCACCACAGAGGTTGCAAAGTCCCCCCACTCCACCACAATATAATGTTCCCTCGCTCTGGAAAGTGCATTTCTGCAGCTGTGGATATGTGATATTCTCTCCTTCTCCATGGCCTGTTTGTCCATCTGTCTTCCGACTCTAATACCAGCTCATTCTGGTTTGACTATGTTGGGAGGAGATGCAGCTGACGGATGCATGCCACGTGGACCCAGGCATAGGCCACACAAGCCTTTACTGGCCCCCCTGGCCCTGCCACAATCATGCCATCATCTACCTATCATCTTTCCTCAAATCTAACCAGTCTCTTTGGACAGGATGTTTGTATAGGTAAATGCCCAGCTCCTGTGATTGCCTTATTTGCAAACTCATCATCTCTATTAAGAGTACCTTTCCTGCCCTGTCTTCTTTGGGTCAATCTGTGTCTTTTATCAATCAATACTCACCTTCAACCAGAGAGGAGAAGGCAATCCTCCTAAACAGCTGTGTTGGATTACCTATGCTAGAGATACTTCATTTTCTCTCTTAACAATCTTCCCATTCAGGCCCACTAAATTTTACTGTTTAGCAATTTCTAAATCCTTCCTAAACCACTCACCTTTGTATTAAGCAGACTTCCACATCCACCTAGAATACACTCCTAGAAGAATCCAACTTGCTCTGTCTTATAAAATTTTTCCAGGACTTAAAGAATTAATTGTATATGGAGGTTTGCTACCCTAATCTCATTATCTATAAGATGCTGAAGTCCTCTGAATTCCTCTGCTCCTACTGTTTTCTCTCCTACTCTTGAAATTACCCAATAAGACAAGATAAGGTACACAGTGTCTGGCATACAGTATGTTTTAAAATAAATTTTGGTCCTCTTAACTCCTTGTCTAATCTATCTTCTCAAATGTGGGTTTTTTTTTTTCTCCTTTAAAAGAATCTTTCATAGGTTATACCACTGAATTATCTTCAAATGTTGCTGTACTTTATTTAGTCAATCCTCCATAATAGGGAGCTATTTGTCTCTTTTATAAACATTTAGGTGAGGATGCTTATTTCTCCAGATCATAGGAAACTGATTAATTATCTCAGATCTACATAGATAAATTAATGTTTATTTAATAAGGTACTTTAAGGTACTTGAATACCCTCTATGAGCAGTGCTAGAAGTTGAGAGGGATAGCAAAAAATATATGAGAGACATGGTCTCTGACCTCTTAGAAGTTTACAATCCAATTACATTACTGAAATAAAACACACATCCAGAAAGACAACAATATGGTGGTGTAGGTAACTGCAGTACCCACCGCCTCCCACAACCACATCAAAATTACAACTAAAATACAGAGCAGCCATCACTCAGAACCTCTTGAAATCTAGCTGAACAGAAGACCTACAACGAGGGAACTGAAGAATCATCGAGACTGGTAGGAGGGGCAGAGATGCGGGTGGATCGGGGCTGAATCTCAGAGACGAGGCTGATGGCCCACACCCAGGTGCCCCGGGTTAAACCTGGGAGGGTATCTTGGGATGGAGGTTTCCCAGAGGAGTGAGGGGTCCCAGCCCCACATCAGGCCCCCAGCCCAGGGCTCCAGGGCCAGGAAGAAAAGTCCTCACAACTTCAGGCTGTGAAACCAGCGGGGATTGAGGCTGAGGGTCTCGGAGGCTGCGGGAGTCCCAGGCAGCAACTCTTAAAGGGCCCGCACGCAGACTCACTCAGATGTGCTCCCTCTGAGCTCCAGTGCTGGGCAGCAGCTTGAAAGGAACCTGGGACATTCAGCGAGGAACTAACTTGCCTGGAATCAAGACGACAGCTGGAGGGGCAGCTTTCTCCCAGACAGAAGAGCTGGCAGAGGCCATTGCTCCTTTGGCGAGCTTTCCCCCCCCAGAGCCGGCAGACAGGCGCCATATGTGAATCTCCAGCACCTGACTCACACCTTTGGCTCCATGCTGGTGATTCCCAGAGACCCCACCCCTTTCCTACTTGCAAGCTCATCCAGGCCATTTCCAGGGGCTTTTCTATGCAAGTGGCCTCTCTAGCCTCATGCTTGGTACTTTCCTAAAATCAAACAAGCAGAAGCTGGCCTCAGTGTGCCCCATACGTCTTGATAAGTGGCGCTAGGCCTGGCACTAGTGGCAGCCTGCATTGGTTCATAGCTTGGCCTCTCCTGGACAACGCCAAGCCCAGCACAAGGCAGCCAACTACGGTTTGCTGCGTAGCTCATCCTGGGTGGCCTTGGACAACGCACAGGCAGAGGTTGACTCTGCACCTTCCAGGAGGCCCCAGAGACAGTGCACCTGGTGGTCAGACTCGACCATGCTGGAGGATTACAACACTACCACATCCATAAGTGACATAATCAATGGGTGCACTTGGTGAACACCAACGCGCCACTAAAGTAAATCCTGCTCCATAGGAGTGTCTCCAGCACAGCACCTCTTTGGCTGTAGTTGCAGCTGGTCCTCACAGCTGACTGGCCTGGGGGTTAGTTCCTCCAGGTGATGCCAACAGCAACCTAGGCTCACAGAACACACAGCCTACACATGAGAGCATCTAGNNGACATAGCAGCTCTACCTAATACATAGAAACAAACACCTGGAAGCAGCCAAAATGTGGAGGCAAAGAAACATGTCACAAAGGAAAGAACAGAAGAAATCTCCAGAAAAGGAACTAAATGAAATAGAGCCAAGAAAGCTACTAGATACAGAGTTCAGAATAATGGTTATAAGGATGCTCAGGGATCTTAGGAAGACTATTAAGGAAACTAGTGAAATCATCAATGACATAATAAAGTACCAATCAGAAATGAAGGCTACAGGAACTGAAATGAAGAATAATCTACAGGGAATCAACAGTAAAGTAAAGGACGCTGAGCATCAAATCAGCAATTTGGACCATGAGGAAACAAAAAACACCAACCAGAAGAGCAAAAAGAAAAAAGAACCCAGAAATATGAAGATAGTGTAAGGAGTCTCTGGGACAACTTCAAGCGCCCAACATTTGCATTATGGGGGAAACCCGAAGGAGAAGAAAGAGAGCAAAAAAAATCGAAAACCTATTTGAAAAAATAATGACAGAAAACGTCCCCTACCTGGGGAAAGAAATAGACTTACAAGTCCAGGAAGCACAGAGCGTCCCAAACAAGAGGAACCTAAAGAGGCCCACACCAAGACACATCATAATTAAAATGCCAGAAGTTAAAGACAAAGAGAGACTCTTAAAAGCAGCAAGAGAAAAGCAATCAGTTACCTACAAGGGAGCACCCATACAACTGTCAGCTGATTTCTCAACAGAAACTTTGCAGGCCAGAAGGGAGTGGCAAGAAATATTCAAAGTGATGAAAANTCAAAGGGATGAAAAGCAAGAACCTACAACCAAGATTACTCTACCCAGCAAAGTTATCATTTAGAACTGAAGGTCAGATAAATAGCTTCACAGATAAGAAAAAGCTAAAGGAGTTCATCACTACCAGACCAGTATTACATGGAATGTTGAGGGGTCTTGTTTAAGAAGAAGCTAATGAACAAAAGAATCTGATAAACTAAATTGATCCAGAGACATTGACGCATGCAACAGACGATCATACTTCAGAGGGAAGAGGGAATGGGAGTGGAGGATGGGAAGAGATTAACCAAAGAAGTTATATGCATATATGCATAACCCATGGAAACAGACAATAATGGGGTGATGGCCTGGGGAGGGGGTGGGAGCGAGGTGTAGGGGGTCAATGGGGGAAAAAATGGGATACCTGTAATACTTTCAACAATAAAGATAAATTTAAAACAAAACATAACAAAAAAATATATCCAAAACTGTTGAGAAATAATGCAAGGCAATACTGCCAATACCTCATCTTCCTGTTACCAGTCTCTCCCTCATGTGACCCATCCCAAAACACTGCATTCTAAATGTCACTCCACTCTCTCTGCTTAAAAACCTTCAGTAGCAACTTACAGTCTACAGAATGAAGTTTGAACCTGGCCTGGCCTTTAGGCCTCTACAACATAGAGTTAAACATCTCCAACCTCATGTCCCGTGACTTCCGGATGAATGAAACTTCTGCTTCATCCAAAATCTCCTTGTTTCTGAACATATCACATGTACTCCCTCTTGCATCTTTGCTCACATTGTTTTCCTTATCTCCCTTCCTCTTTCTTAAAAATCCACTTTCTACCTTCTAAGGCCCAGTTCAAATTCATGGTCTAGGGCTTCTTCCATCAAGCGTTCCTTTGCTACCTCAGTCTACGAAGCTCTCTCCCTCCTCTTACACAGAGTCTGTAGCATTCCTATTTGGTACTTAGCATATACTACCACATAACAGCTACATTATAGCCTTATATATCCTTATATTGTTTTACAGCCCGGGCATCTAGCACAAGACTTTTCATAGAGTAGATATCCTATAAATGTTTTTAATATGAATACTAAGGATGAATCAAATGCACCTACTCCAAAGACAGTTTTCTAACACTTTCTCCAGCAATCAGACACACTTTAAATCCATCATGTTCAACACATTTAACCCTTTTTTTCTTCACAAATTAGTGCGAGCCTCCAACCTAAATTCAGATTACTCTTCCATTCCAACCCCCAATGTTCTCAGATTCCAGAAGACAGAGCCCAATACTCACAGTGAACTTTATTTGGATTTGTCTGTTTCCGACGGGACATGTTTCCCTGACCCAAGAGCTCTGGCCTTTCCCAGTTTCACGACTGAATATGTTACTACCTCCTTGCAGGGTGCTGACCTACAATAAAAAGGATATTGTTAGCACATGTCATTTTGCCCAGATATCATACAAAATTAACAGGTAAAAAGATTTTTAAAAATAGTTCTTAAGTATATAAAACTCACCAGTTATAAATAATTGAACTAAGTAAAGAAAGAAATGAATAAATCTCTAGCACAACATCATGGTCCCAAGAAGTTTAAGAGGGGGCTCACTCCTTTAGAGGATTTAGAGAATTCCACTCTAAATCTATCTGTGGAATCCAGAATGCTATTAAGCGATCATGATCAAGATCACAGGATAGAAAAGGAAGCAAATAACTCAGGCAACTGTGTTAGTAGTACAGTGGGCTCAAAGGATTAGCCCCCCGTGAATTGTAAAAGGAAGCAAAAGAAGCTAAAGAGGTGGCAGCTCACATGCCCACTGGAAGTCAAGCCCTGCAGTTTACACCAGTGGGAACTTCCAGGTGTTTTTCACGAAGTTAACTCGCCTCGAGGTGACAAGGCACCACATCCCTGAGACAGGAAGCGTCTCAAAATGACACAGGAAACAGAGCCTCTTTCTAGTAATGTACGCACAGTGCTGGGCACTGTGGATGACAGGGCACTAGAGCAAATCAGACTTCCAATATTGAAGATGGGCTCTCACCAGAAGAGCAAGACGCCATCCACATTGTTGAGTACTACTAATTCAGCACCCCAATGTGAAACATCACCCTGGCCCTGCTTGCATGCTCTTTTGTAGTGGTCAAAATTAATAACTGTAATGCCTCTTCTCAATCCAGCCTCTATGTAGCAGAGAGATCAGTGGGAGAAACAAAGAGAAAAGCTCCTCAAACAAGAAGCGCTGCAGAGGCATGCACCTGCTTCCCTGAAACAGGAGGGAACAGATACTTAAGCCTGAAGGTTCCTGGTTAGTTATAAGACTTTTCCAGCAGTAAGTGTGGTTAGAGAGTCTGAAATGAATTAGTATTGGAAGCTGTGAAATTTTCTTTGAACGATAAAGTGAACAAACAGACACAGATTAAAAAAGGAGGTAAGATTATTTTCCCTACCAAAGACAAGAATATGGATGTGGTCACCCTTTACGTTTTCTTTCAGTTCCTGCCTTCTCAAAGTGTATTCACAATGAATGAGCACGTATAAAATTGTAGTTTACTGCCTTAACAGGCGTTATGAGAGGCTATGACTAGCTATACTCTGCACTCCAGTTAGTGAAGACTCACCTCCTGTTATGTCAACTAACTCCTGTATGTAGCTAGAAAGGACCTCAGACCTGCGATCAGATCCTGCCTCCCCCTTACCAAAAGAAGAAAGAAACCGCAAATGGCAAAGACAGGCCTCCACAGGAAGTGGCAAAGGAAGCAGCTTCCGGGCAGTCTTCTAGCATATCTGCACATCAAACACAGTTCTTTTTCAGACATTTAATTTAAAAACCCCAAAAACCTCCAAATACACATAAAAATCAGTTTTAACTACAGTGGTGCCTCAGTTTTTCGAACGTTTCAGAACTTGAACGCTCTTCCAGGATGGATTACATTCGAAAACCGAGGTACACCTATGTAGAGGGCAGTATGCTAAGTGCTGATGCTAATTGGCATGTGTTCTCTATTCTAAGTTTTGTGTAGATCATTTTTTTCTAATCAAGTAGTTATTTTATTAATGAAAGCAGTAAATTACACTTTGGGTAATATATACGCTTTTCCTGTAAGTCTGTGGCAAGATAGAAAGCTGAGTGAAATGCAGGTTGCCTTTCATTTTTTTCCTAAAATTTGCAGAGCTTCACACCTCTGTTGTATAAAGAAAATATGAAATCTTAACGAATCTTTAAATTTTCTCTCCATCAAGATCAGAAATTGAAACTGTCAGATAAAGATAATAAAGATCCTTCTGAAGGAAGGCCAAATAATTCGAGACAGGCTCTATTCAGATCATCTTGGTGAGGCAACAGTTCAATATTAAAGCTACAAGTCGGAAACAGGTGATCATCTTCATATTTAAATTGGCAGTGTCCACTGCATCTCACAATCCTCCTAGTGGCCGAGTAGGAAACTGACCAGATGGTACCCAATGGAACTTCACACCTGAGGGATTAAGGGGAAATTAAGCAAATACTCTCCCTCTCTCAAAAAAGAAAGCCTGTAGGGTAGAGGACTCTTGAAAATACATAAATACATCAATCAATCAATCAATCGCGCTGAAAATACATTCTTGACCACACACAAGATCTCAGGGGTTAGATAACTGTTTTGTAGGCATTAAAAGCTAATAAAACCCATGGACACATTGCCCTAAAGGTCCCTCATTCAGTTTTACTTTTAACACTGTCTCAGTTCCCAAGCCCGAATCTGAAACCAACATAAACATGTAAACGGATAGCTGCCTGAACATCACCACCTCTCGAAGAAAACCGGGATGGGAAGAAGGGTAAAGTGACGACATTCAGATCTACATGGGGTTCTATCTGAAAAGGAAGGCAGCTTTGTTTCTCTTTAGAACGAGGCGGAGAGTCCTGGGGGGCGGGGGGGGGGGCGGCAACGTCTCCCTCGAACACTGTTCCTGCTCTCCCACAAGTGTTAGGTTGCAGCTTCCAGGGCACACCACAGATTTTCGCAAGGAAAAAAACGGTTGAAATCCAAGCTTTAAGAAAAGGGGGCACTCCCACCTCCAGCTCTGGTGCGGTTCCCACAGAGGAAAGTAAAGTCGTCTGAATCCCAGTGATTTTTATCTGCCAGAAAGGAGAGGACAGGAAAGCTGGTCACGCAGTCGCCTCGCTGGTCACCCCGCTCTCACTCCTGTTTGGTCTGGAGCATGTGTATGTATATTCAGTCCAGACGGTGCCTTCGGCTTCTTCGAGCACGAGCCAGGTAGAGTCCCAGGAGTTATCGGACGAGCGCCAGTGGTCTCCCGAGGCGGCTCAGACAACACAGTCTTCTCCGAGATCTAAATTTAGAAACCTTTCTGCGAGACCGCGACGCGGCGCCGATACCCGGGTCTGCCCTCCCACGCCCATCCTCCCCCAGCTCCTCCCGCCTGTCAGACGCCGGGGCCGTCCCGGCCGCTCCGGCCAACCCGACCTGGGCCCGCGCGGGGCGGGCGGCTGCACCGACGTCCCTCCCGCGCCAAAGGGGCGCAAAGAGGAACGACCCGGGGGCGCTACCAGGGTCCCGCCTCGTCTCGGGAAACCGGGGCAGGGGGTGGGTCGGAGCCTGGGCGGCCCCCGCCCCTGGCCACTGCGAGCCCCTAGTCCCCTCCCCAGATGCGGACAAAAGACCAACAGCCGGTGGCCCGGGGAGGGGAGGCGGTGAGGAGCCCCTGCATCCTCAGCCTGGCCCCGGAGGGAAGTAGTCGGGGGTCTTTTTTACCCGGCGCCTCGGCGCTCCGCGGCGCTCCGGGTCCCTGGGCCCCGCCTCCGGACAGACGGACCGCCGGACAATGGGCCCCGGGCTGCAGCTCGGGCCGGCCAGGCCCGGGCTCTCCGGGACTGGGCCCCGGCAGGCGGAGGGCAGCTGAGGGCC